AAGTAACTGTATTCTGAATACCACCTTTTTAAACGGTAACTGTAACGGAATACAGTTACTCATATTTTGTATTTTAAATACGTAACGGCGGTACATGTATTCCGTTACTCCCCAACACTGATAATGAGTAATCATTTAGTAAAATTAATCATTTTACTTTCCTTAGATTACTGTTGTTATCTAAATGAGAATGTTAAAAGTGAAAATGTATGTGCTATAATAAATCTGTTGAAAATATAATAATCTGAAGAATGCTTGCATACACTTTATAAATGCAGGTGTGTTACATTATAAATGCTGTGTTTAGTTATACAGTGGAACCCTGACTTACGAAATGAATTCGTTCCAGAGGGTCTTTGGTAAGTCGAAATTTTCACAAGTCGAAGCACCTTTTTCAAACACATTTGCATGACATACACTACCAGTCAAAGGTTTGGACACACCTTCTCATTTAATGTTTTTACTACTTTTCTACATTGTAGATACATACTGAAGGCAAATATAATATATATAAAGCATATATGGAGTTATGTAGCAAAGAAAAAATGGATAAAAACTTTATATATGTCTTATATTTCAGATACCCTTTTCTTTGTTGACAGCTCTGCAAATCCTCGGCCTTCTCTCACTGAGCTTCATGATGTAGTCACCTGAAATCGTTTTTACTTCACCACTGTGCCTTGTCAGGGTTCATTTGTGAAATTTCCTGTCTTCCTATTAAATTAGAAGCTGTGTCTGTGACTGGTAGTGTATCTTCACTGATGTGTCACCAGCAGTAGCTCTCAATCTAGGGAGAAATATGGAACTACCAGCAGGAATGTGGAACTTATTAGCTGCAAAATCTGACTCTGTTTATTTACTGTAAGGATAAATCATAACACATTAGGGCTTCTGGGAAACTTCTTTTCAAATTGTAGTTGTACATTTCTTATGTGTTGTGTTTCAGTGTGAAATGTCGAGCAACTAGACTGTGTTCAGAGTCCGAGTTGGGACTGAGAAACATCCTCCAAGACCCGCTACTGGTCTACGACCAATGGAAAGACACGGTTTCTCAGGTGTTGGAAACTTCTGCTGAGGTCACAGACTTCTCCCATGTTGCCATGTTAGTCCAGAAGATTGAGGTAAAACAAATGCATTATCTTTAGAAGGACTTTTTGCTCATATAGAAAAATTCCTCACCTTTGTAAATTTGTGTATGTTAACCCCTGCAATTTGAATTGTTTGGTGCAACCAAGAAAAACTTTCATACTAGCTTAACACAAACGGAGCAGACACAATCGTACAGGTTGGGAGGTCAGATGGGCTTTCAAAACTTGCTATCAACACCTGCTACCAATTTAGAATCAGCTCTTTAACCTGACATGTAGAGCAGGGCGATGTGACCAAAAATATTTATCACGATATACATTTGAAAATTTGCAATAACGATATAACTGACGATATAATTGACACGAGACAAAATGCTTTACAACTCCACAACTTTATTAGTGCAAAAAACCCCATCAATGTATTTTCACTTAAACAAGCAGCTGTTTTTTTATGTGCATTAAAGTTATATAAAAATGTAACAGTGCAAATTCCTCGCTGACAGTTTAACCAAAAGGCATTTCCAGTGGAAACTGGCCGACA